GAAGGGGGGGAGGAGGGAGGGGGGGGGGGGGGGGGGGGGGAGAGGGAGTGGTGTGCTTGAGGGCGCGGGGAGGAGAGGGCGGGGAGGGCTGGGGGGGGGGGGGGGCCGGCAGCGCGGGCGTGGGGGGCGGGGTGTGGGGTGGCCGGGGTGGGTGAGGGGGTGGGGGAGTTTGGGGGGGCGGGGGCGGCGCGTGGGGGTGGCGAAGGGAGGTGGGGACGGGTCTCGGGGGGGGGCGGGGAGGGGGGGCGGGGGGTCCGGAGCCCGCCTGTCCTCTACAGGACTAAACTATTATCAATTTGCAATTTTTATTGATTAGCATATTTTTTTTAAAATATTGAATCAGAGACCCGCTGTCTAAAAAGTCCACTGCTAATGCTATTCTTTTCAAAGAAAATGGCACAATTTGATTTTATGACATGTTTAAAAAAAGAGTTTTAAAAATATCCCGAAAATAACATAAAATGATTATATATATAGATCTCTCTCTCTGTCTCTCTCTCTCTCTCTCTCTCTCTATATATATATATATATATATATATATATATATCATATATATATATATATATATATATATATATATACATATATGTGTGTGTATTTTATTATGTATACTAAAAGACTGAGCAGAGGCTTACAATGTAAATTCTGTGCTCTACATGTAGAGAAAATCTTAAGTTTGCGCAAAACAGATTTTAGAAAAAAAGTTGGATCTAATTATTCTAATAAAAGTAAAAGTGATTGTTATGCTGAGATTTGTTATTATTGACTCTGGAACTGGAAATACAGTTACTTGCTGAATCTAAAAGTAACTAGAACTGTGCAATTCGTTTTATTTCAATTCCAAAGCCCAAAGGCATAGCAATAATAAGTTAGATCTAGATCTAGCAGTTGTAGGCTCTCTGGCTGCTTCTAGCATAGGCCTGCTACTACTGATTCTAGACAGGGAATCTAGATCTTGCTATCGCCTGCACTATTAAAGTCAAATATATGGTAAAATAAAAACAAAACTGAATTTTTTGTCAGTCAGTACATCCCAATTGCCATAGCCGCACGTATTAATAGTTGAATAATGCGATACCGAAGCAACACGTTATCACAGTGTGCAGGGGAGAGCGAGGTGCCCGGTCGATTCGGTGGTTCGGCTTTTGTAGATCTATGCATTTTTTACGGAATACAGCTCAGGCGTCAAAAGAAGCTGGAAAATAATAATACGTCCTGAAGTTTCATAATTTATTTTTATACAGAATAACACAGTACACAACCAGTAGTTTTTTGTTTTATCGAGTTATAAAAATAGCCTTCGTATAAAAATTGCCTTGTTCTCAGAAGCAAATTTTAATAGTTCTAGTTCTACCGAATCGATTTTCACGCGAATTCAACCATTTTGATGATCTTTCTTTTCCTTTTAAAAAGATGTAGATCTAGGCCTGTCGGATGTGGCAGTGCGAATAACACTGAGTTGTTTAGATCTAGATCTAGACCCATCAAAACACGAGGCTTCGTGGCCGATCACAAAAGTCTACAGGGCTTATCGAGGCCGATTCGCCCTGCCGCAAGCACGTTCACTAAACTGCCTACTAGATAGAATCTACTACCAAATATTCTCTACACGATCTTTGCTACTACTACTACTAGGCCTACTAGCCTACATGTGACTGTACCAGAGAGTGTCACTCAGGCAAAGATAGTGTAACTTTGACTCAGCCACGTAGTGTACACACTTTTTATACCCCAAATTTAACCTGGAAGTCCATTCGGAGGATTTGACCTTTTCACTTGACCAAAGTGTGCCAAAATGGTAGCCTACCTTTTGCCCCTCCATGAAGGAAAAGTCTGGTCCTCATTCAAACCATTGGGATTGAGCAAAATTTTGCGTATTGTGCTTTGTTCTTTACAATATTCATTATGATTATGATTTATAAATTGTACACTGAGACAAAACCGTACTAAAAGAGAAAGGTGCACCATTATGAAAGTGGAACGAACTCAGTTGCCTGAAAAGGGTAGTTTGAGCATGTGTGGCCTAAATAAGCTAAACCCCCCTCCCTTACCTTATTTAGGCCACAGTCCACTGTGGCCTAAAATAAGCTAAACCCCCATCCCTTACCTTATTTAGGCCATATGTGGCCTAAATAAGCACTCCCTAAAAGGAAAGCCAGACAGCTTAATAATTTATAAAGCGTTGGCAAATGTATTTGATAAACCCCGAAGAT